AAGGGTGCCGAAGGCCAAAGGCAGATGCCGAATCATTGGGGGGATGTGAAAACATCGCACGCGCCGAATGATGCAAGGGTGCCGATGGCTGAAGGCAGATTGTAGGAGGTGCCGAGGGCATGGCTCAAAAGGGTGCCGAGAGCACTCGTGAAGGAGAACAACATAGCATTTTGTGTCGTTTCCCACAGACGGCGCCAATCTGTTGGCACTAAAACTGAACAGATAGAGATGAGTGCAACTTACAAGAGATGTGGACGATCTAGCAGATCGATTGAGTGATATTTGGAGATTCTTCCTGTCTTCAGATGCTGATCCTGAATAGAAGATAAGCGAAACTCGTGAGGTCTATGGAATCGGTGTGGAACCAGCCTAAGACCCTCTGATGCTTAAGTAAGATTGTTTATAAGAGCTCTTGCTGTTGACCATATAAAAGTATAAAAGTCAAGCTGAAAAGTCTTACCCTTCTATTGTAGTGAAGGGTTCTCTTTTTATAGGGAAGGGAGAGTCCCCTTCTCTTGTGTTTTGTCGATGTGGGACTCCCTTCCCTTTGCTTGGATTGGCTTGGGAATGCTTGGACAGATATTGTACAAATAGGTTCGAACCTATAGAACTCGGATATCGCATAATAGGCGCAATATCCATTCAATAGTCAAACGGTAACCAATTCCAAATCTGAGCTTACCGTCGTGCTCAGGACGACGTGGGGAGTGTTTTAAAACATAATCGACCGCCACAAGGTGGCCCACGTGCTGCCACCCGCCGCTAGTAGCGTGTGGGTGCCTTGAGAAATTTCTGACGACGGAAATTTCTCGAAACACCCTATAATACCAATACAATCAACCACATAAGGGAGCATTTTTTGTTCTTGGACCCTGACCAAAAAGTGGCCGGAACTAGCCGAAAACAAGGTCAAAGCTGCCGGCTATATGGGTTCCAAATCGAACCAAAATACCAGCATAAACAGTTATAGCACGACAAGGGGATGAAGAACCATACCTTGGTCAAAAAATTGCAAAAACTTCCAGTCGACGCTGCCATGTAATGCCGGGTTTTCGAGCTACGAAAAGTATTGGGTTGGGTAGAGGAGAGGGACGATTCTGTTGCAACAAGAATGGTCGAATTTGATTGCCAGAAGGCAACGAAATCGTAGTCTGAAATGACGGTGTCG